AGATAGGGCGCCTTTACAGAGGGAGCCACCAGCCTCCAGCACGCCCCGACATCCTGCGCCGGGGTGGGGCACAAGCCGCTTGGCAGCCCGCTGGTGACAACTGAATGAGAGTGGTGACAAGGGTGACAAGGCCTGTGCCTGCCTCCCTCGCCCCCCTCTTTCTTGTTTGGAGCCGGCTCTGTGATGTTAATTTGATTGCACCCATTTCAGCTTCCTTTCTACACTGATTAGCTGAGTTTCACCTGAAGCATGAGATTAATTCAAATTGCAGGGAAGCAATCAGTTATGCTCTCGCCGTACTCCAAACACGTTGGTGCTCCCGACGTGCCAGCAGCCGCCCCTCTCCCAGCCCAGCGGTGCCAGGGGGGACCGAACGGAGCAGCCCCCTCCCCAGCAAGCACTGCCCACAGCCCTGGCACAGCCCACAGGACCCCCCTGCCAAGGACGAGACCCCCTCCATCCCACACACTCTGCTCTCCAGGAAGGGGACAAGAGGACAGGGCGATGCAGGCTGGCTGCCACCGCTCCCCCGCTGACCGGCATCGAGCTTTGTTTGGGCTCTGATTAACTTTCATTTAACTCCGTCCGCAGTGGCCTGACTTTCAAGGAAAGCTGGCGCTGATCTCACTTTAATTGGCCTGACATTTCACTAAACAAACAAAAGTCCAAAAATGAAACAAAACAAAGAGCCCCACATAACGCTTAATTGGCTGTGGCGCTTCGTCTACCTATTCATCCGAACCTTTTCAAAGGCTGTGAGGTCTCCAGGAAATGTAAAAGCACATGCATAATAAGGTTATGTGCTATTCAAGTCAGCGAGCAACCTGTCCTGGGATGCAATTACAGCAGAGAGCGGGGACAAGGCAACAGTTCAGGCTCCGAGACTTCTGCGCGCTCACTCGGGATTAATCGCCTCGACTTTGTACCTGCGCCTTATTGAAGTGCGTCGTTTGAAGTCGCTCGTTTTGATTCATCAGTCGGTGGGATAAATTAAACAGCTGACAGGGAGGGGAAAAGAAACCCAGGAAAGCAGAGGCTGGGTGTGGAGGGGAGAAGCTGTCAAGAGATGCCAGGAAATGAAGCGCTTGGCTGGCAAGCAGCACAGAGGCTGCCCAAGCTGCTCGCTCCTCATCTCCTCCCAGATGATTCCCCAAGCGTGAGACCCTCGCCAAGACAACGGCACTTTGCCAAGACAAGGGCAGCACCTGGGGGGGCTGCCTAGGGCACAGCCGGGGGGTGGTGGCTCCACAGCTCTGCCTGAAAGCCCCACCACGGTGTGCTCCCTGGCATGGGCAAGGGAGATTTACCCTTCGAGACAACGGCAACCCCAGACAGCAAGGAGCTGCCACAGGAGTGAGCGAGACAGGGCTGGTCCCCCCTCCACCACCTCCTTCTTGGGGCTGGAATGCTCACGGCAGCAACAATCAAAACAAATAGAGGAGCTGGAGATTATGCGTTCTGCTGATAGCAACGGGAGAGGAATCCAATAACAAGCGCAGTTCAAACACGGTGTCTAACAACACTTCCCAGCCCATCCCTGTCAAATTAGCCCAGCTATTTCCTTTCCCCCTGTATGATGTAGATTGATTGCTCGGTTTTATTAAGGACAAAGTGTGTTTAATAGCAAAAGGGAAGCGGGTCCCTGGAGGAAGGGAATCGATGCCCTCCCCACACGCTGACTGCGCGGATGGGCAGTGCCGAGGGCAGAGCCAGGCGCAGCGGGAATCCTCCTCGTGCACGAGCATCCACCCCACAGCCGCCCTCCCTCCTACGTGGGGCATGCACCCCTCCGCTCCCCAAG